TGTCTCTCTAAGAAATAACATATCAGCTAAGGTTAAAACCACAACCTAATGTAGAACATGCCAAAATCTTACCCTTCTGATTCTTGGCCACTGCTGCAACAATCTTTCCTTGAGGATGACACTGTTTAATAGTGGTTAAGCTATATGGTATCACGTGATGAGTATTGCAACTTCAACATGATTATAGAATAGAGGAAAAATGAAGTTATGAACTCTGATTGAGATCCCCTTAACTGTTTTGGCAATCTCTACAGAAGAAGATAAACCAATTCATGAGGTGGTAATAGTAATACAATAACATATATACAATACTAACAAGCCCACCAGCCAACCAAATGGGGATGTAGCTCAGATGGTAGAGCGCTCGCTTAGCATGCGAGAGGTACGGGGATCGATACCCCGCATCTCCACTTCAATCTTCGTACTTTTTCCAAACCCTCTGCTCTTGGGCTGTGTCATTCCTTACTTTTCTCATTTCCAGTGAACTGGGCTCAATCAGTCATTAAGCACCGTACAGTGTCCACTAATTTGAATTTTGAAAGTTCGTTGCATACCGTTTCCTGCAGGCCCCTTCTTCTCTTTTGGGCTAGATCAGAGCTTGGACCATCAACTTTTTCTCCATCTAAACTTTTCAAGTGCTTACGCTACATACATACCTTCTTTTTTGGTGTTTGTATTGTTTTCAAGTGCTTACCTCTTCAATTTGTACAACAACACAGGCATGAATCTCGAATTACTTAAGTGTCTCGATAATAATATTTTTACAGTAAAAATACCAGAAATTTTAAATTTAAATTGCATAAAAAATTAGAAAGAATTATTATATTATGCAATTCAACTTGAAGAAAGAAAGAAAAAAAAAACTCCAGCAGAATTGTTAGGTACAAAGCTGGTTAATAAAGAATCAACCACCTAACCATTAATCCAAATGTTAAATTTATTGATAAATAAATATTATTTTATAAGTTAAATTTAAAATTCAAGTGTTATGATCAACACCAAAAGAAATTCTTTAAATGCACCAACTTAATATAGTGATTTGAGAAAAAAAATTAGTTTTAAAATGTGTAAAAATTTATATAAGACACTTTAACCATAAAAAAAAAAAAAAAATCTTGTGGTTTCTTTTTATTGCACCATTCTTGTCATTTGACTCCCCAGTTATCTATTGATCATCTAGAATGACAAATTTCAGGTCTAAATTATTGACCCTTTTTTTTTTCTTTTTTTATATATATGATGAACGAATCATTGACTTTAAATATTAGAAGAATTGTGACAGTACATAACTGTTTTCAAACAAATGACAATTACCTCTTAGTTCCCGGATTTTTGGTGGAGTTCACTAGTTCTTTGTTTTGTTGAATTTTTATTCTGACTTTTGGTCTGCATAATTGGATCTGTAAAGCACTAATCTTTGCCAGAAGCTATTTTAAACTACATATGGACCAAAATAAAATTAAAAATAAAATAAATAATTTCCTAAAAAAACAAATTACTACCATTTTGCAACCGGAAGCTAATTAACAAACCATTTTGCAACAGAAAGCTTACAAACAAATTACTACCATTTTTCAATTAATCAAAAAAAAAATTACAATGTTTTTCCTTACACTATTCTATATAATGTTATATGATATTAAATTATTAATTGTTATTTGATAAAATGCATGATATATCGTTATATAATCTCTTTTTTTTTTTTTTTGAAGTTGTCATGAGGCGGGTTTGAATCCACCCAAAAAGAGAGGAGAATGCACCTCAAAATAATCAGACCAAGTGCGTTATATAATCTCTTATTTGATATCATGTTTATATATGATTCACATTATATAAAACATATATCACCAATCAATTAATTAATAGACAAGACTTGTTCAAGTTTATGCTTTTATAAGTTGAGAAAGAGACTTCCAAAGTCAGAATTATTGGGTAGCCGGTTGTCCAATTGGAGGGGCATTGACTCCATTTTTTAAGACACGGCGCAAATCTTTGCAGCTTTGATGTTGCAGATTTAGTTGCATTATGAAAAAACAAAATGAGAAGAAAATTTTGAAATTGTTTATAAAAAAATTATAGATACACTCTCTGATCAAACTAGTGAGTAATTAATTTAGTTATCAAAAACTATAATTTTAATTTTTTTTTTCGTTTTTAATTTAAATTCAATAATAATAATTTTTTAAAATAAATTATAAAATATATTAAATTAGAGAGTGTCTATATTAGTTTCTATTGTTTATACGTATGGTATCGGAAGAATTATGAAGAGAGCTGAGAGAAAGGATGTGTGTTGCATAATAAAATTGTTCATTAAATCGAAGTTGAATGAGTCCATTTTAGGCTTAATTAAGAAGTGCCATAAACGAAAGGATTCTTTTTATTTATTTATTTATTTTCTTCTCTTTCAACATCTAAGTCCCAAAAATAATATTTGATCATTTGAGATCAGTGGCTCCATAAGGAAGCTATATATGTTCAAGAAAATAATAAATTAAGGTAATAATTAATTAAGAAAAACCTGAGATAGTCCAAGTGATGATTGGAATAATTTCATATTTTTATGATATATAACTTTTTTTTTTTTCTGGTAAGTGATTATCACTATCAATTTATCACCAATTTCTAATTAAATATTAAACAACTTGTTATGGGGGTATATATAAATTAGGTGGACTATTTTGATATTAATTTATCCACACACCAAGATCTTAGTGTCTATATTTTGGTATACCTTAATTAGTTCATTTTTTCCCTTCAACCAAACAGTGGAATTTTGTATTAAGATTTGTGTTTCATTAGTTTTATGCATTTTGATTTAAACATGGATCACATCTGACAGTTTGGCCGAGTGGTCTAAGGCGCCAGATTTAGGCTCTGGTCCGAAAGGGCGTGGGTTCAAATCCCACAGCTGTCAATTTTTTTCCCTTAACGAATAAACAAAATTGGATATGAACCTTCCATTTTTCAAACTCATATAAAATTATAAATGATATAAATCCGATACATACAACTTCTTTTCTCTTCTTTTTTTTTCTTTTTTTTTTTTTTAAGAACAAATTTAAACCGATGCATCCAACTTAATAACTTCATTTTCAGGTCCTAAGATGTCAAGTCTAAGCAACTGATTCAAACCAGAAAGTGAAGATTGGTGCTATTTTAGCGTTTTTACTGCTACAATACTTTTATAGTGACTCAATTCACTATTGATAATATTTGCTATAATTCATCTGCCTTACAATTTTAAAACTTGTCAATAAATTAAGAGTAAATAACCTTGCACTTGAATATTCTAAATGATTATGATAGCAATATTTAGAAACAAGTCATACATATGCGAATAAAATAAGAAAAAAATATAATAATTACAAGTCATACATATGCGAATAAAATGAGAAAAAAAATATAATAATTATCTCATATTATATAATGTAAAATCAAATTGAGTACAGTACACATCCCAACAATCAAAATTAATGTCACAAAAGACTTGGTGGATGGATCAAACGGCAAGTTATAGTGAGTGGTCCCAAAGGTGACAAAAAAAAGGATGGAGACTTTATATGAATGAGAAAGAGAGCTAAAATAGCAAGCCACTCACCAACCCATTTCAATCAACAGAAAATTCCAAATGAATCTCTTTCAATTTTAATTAGCTAGGGAGGACAAATTGTCCAGTTGGGGAGGAGGTGCCACAGATTCCCCGTTTCTTTCATTTTCCCATTCCAAAACTTTATTTTCACCTTGACTATTGCATCCTTAATTATCAATTAATTTATTTTCTCTGATTTTTCTTATTCTTTTTAGTTTAGACCCACCAGGAGCTTTTCACTAAGGTCTTTTCTGGGACAATGGCACTTGGTAAGGCTGAAGAATTAATAGGCAAGCCAAAGAACAAGGAAGCTAGGGAGAGATAGGGCGGGACCAAATAGGCAGTAAGCCTGTATTTTTGTTCAAACTTCTAGCTATGGACCCTCAAGAATTGAATTGAGCGCATTAAAGTTAAAAATTTCCTCTTTTTTGGGTTGGGTTGTTAGCTGATTACATCGTGAAACATGTAGGAATGTGAAAAGTATTAGAGGAAACAATTTTTTTAATGGTTGAAAAGGGAAGGTGGTGATGGACTGGACATCATCAATTCTGATTTTATAAAGGCTTCTCCTTTTTAGAGTCTTTATCTTTCCTTTTGAAAGTTTTAGATTTTTTTTTTCAGTACTGTCATGAAAACTTCCAATGCATCATCAATGGTAAAAATTATTCCTGTTTGAATTGTGATTGATTTTAGATACGGGTTGGAATCCATCTTATACTCTAATAAAATTTTGATATATTTACCAGAAAATTAATATATATAGTCTGGATTGATGCCAAATTAATGGCATGGACCTAGGATATACAACCCATAACAACTTTGTCAACATTCCGAAAGCAAAAGGCTTAAATGGATACAAGCAGAAACAGCTAGCTAAAAAGCATGTAGAGAAGGGTTAAGGAATTTATGTTTTGGTGCCAGGAGACCCAGAACATGTGCTTCCTTCATGTCGATCATTTTAACCATTCCATATTTAATAATTGAATCGATTGTCTTCTAACGTGTAGGAAGTAATGGAAAACCTAAGCTGAGTTGTATGTCGTGCTTCGTTTGGTTTAGCTGTTGATAGCAACTGAAACAGTAAATATCTAATCATAAATATCTGAAAATATGTTTGTTTTTTTAGTAAACAGATGAGATGGGATGGACCAAAGGGAAGGGATGAAATTTTTTTTTTTTTGACTAATCTGATTGTAAATATTGATCAATATTATAATTTAATTAACAAAATAATATTTTCTCCCACTTCTTCTTCTACAGTCTATTTTTTTGAGACCAAACATATTCTTATTATTGTTTTATAATTCAAAACTACATCAATTATAAATTGTTGAAAATAGTTCAACCAAACAAAGTCTTGGCTATTCCTTCCAACTTACTGAAGAAATTCAACTTGGTGCAATTATAAGCCGACCTCAGTTATTATTATTATTATTTTTTGAACGTCACTCTTAGGTACAAGACAAAGTAGTACTATAGTGCAATTAACACAGAAATTCAAGGTTCAGAACTTTGCCAATTTGCATAATCAAGAACACAACTACACCCACCATATTTTGTTTACATCTTTTACATAATATATTTTCCATTAACAACATCGTTGTTTGGCCGCCATCAATGGCCTGTGGTGTTAAACATTCGTGGGCATTAAAATTGCATGAGACGATATGACGATGGTGACATATAAATTTGCACAGTTTTTTTTTTTTTTTCTTTTTTTTTCTCCTTAATATCTCTCCGAAGGCTGCCTTACTTATAATCACTTCTTTTTTCCTTTTTCTTTTTTTCTTGAATTAATTTATCATCTCTTCATTCTCAGGCAGCCGCCACTGTCTGGCTTTTAGTTGAAGAAGCTTTAGATGCTGCAGAATTAGATGCGTGGTGGTCTTCTTTCTTCGACGCCATAGCGCTCATCTTCTCTTTCGTTTCGTCTTGCTTCATCTGTTGCTCCCTGCACTCTAGACTACAAAACGCCGTGTCCCCTCTGCAACATATTAAATTTAAAGAGTTCATCATTAACTAAAAACTAAAGTACAAATTTTTATAACAAAAAGAAAAAGATGTCTCCCATGTGCATGTGTTCCTAACTTCCTATAATCTTTCAAAATTCTTGAGAAGGAAACGAAATTATTCTCAATGACCAAAACAACCCCAGAAAATTAATCTCGAGTAAAAGCTGCACTGATACAGTTGAAAACTAATATTCATAATTCAAATAAATTTCAATATTTTTATTCATTTTAGAGATTAGAAATAACGGTTAGATAACAATAGCTAGGTTATTTCAATTAATTGTTCATATGCTAGTGAATATTTAAAAATTAATAATTATTATTATTTATAATCTAAAGCATTCAATCTGATTAATTCTATCTAAGGGTACTTATAGTTGTTTTTAAAACTCAAAGCAAACATAAAATACAAATTAACCAAATTAAGATTCCGAGGGAAAAAGGGGAAAAAAAGAAAAGAAAAGAAAAAAAGAAGAAGAAACTTCTTTTTTAGGAAAAAAAAAATTAATACCATCCCAGATGTAGAGTAAAGACAGTTATATAAGCGTACCTGTACATATAAATGTCGCGACCAGAAACCAATCGGCGTTTACAGAGGCCACAGGATCTTAGAAAATGAGGGGTTTCCATAAAATCGACGGAACCGCCTCTGGGATTTCTGGGTGACACCATGGCCATGAGCTGGTGATCGTAGTCAGGGTAGATGTTGTTCGGATTTAGAGGAGGCACCCCTTCTTCAAGACCCGCCATAATTGCATGCATGGGGTTCTGGGCATCGGAGGGTTCCGTGGCGTCGACGGTGATCCCCTTCATGCTCGTGGTCCGCCTGATCGGAGGGCGCGGACGCTTCCCCAGGGACATGATTGGGGTTTCTGGAGCGTGGGGAGTGAAAAAAGGGGAGGGAGTGGAAATGGAAGGTGGGGGAGGGAGAAGATAAATGTGATACGGGAAGGGGAGAGAGAATCTGGACCGTCGCTTTACGTTTTAATTATTTTTATTGATGAGCAGCATATCTTGGTGAATTTTTGCGCACCTCTAATTAATCTTTTCCTAAATAAAATTAAAGACACGTACTCATGTCGATCCAATTTTATATTTTTTAAAAAAATTAATTTTTTATATTAATATTAAAATTTAAAATTTTAACATAACTTATAAAATAAAATTTATTTATTTAGTGTATCCTTTCTTTTAGTTTTAATTAGTAATATATGATTTCTCACATTACTAAACTCTGTTGACTGTAATTTCACATTCTTACCCCTTAATTTGGTTTTATTCTGCTTCTAGAATTTTTCTTTTAACGTTCATTTCTAGAAATTTGACTAATAAAAACATGAAATGTCTCTTTACTCTCTCAATTTTATTTTAAGAACTAGTCATTCTATTCTACCATTAAGGAAAAGTGGTGTCACAACTCACAACGGCTTCTCAAATTTTTTTTGAATTAGTATATATATTAGTCTAAAAATGTAACCATTCAATTAATATTTAAAAAAATTAATCATTAGATTAATTGTTTTAATTATATAAATTAATTTAAAATTAATAAATATCGTCTATATAAATAAAACATTTAATCCAATTATGACATTTTTAAAATATTAAGGGCTTGTTTAATAACATTTTTGTTGCCAAAAATTGTAGATGACTAAGTTAAAAAAAAATTAAAAACTTTTAAAAAAAGGATTTAACAAGTTGTTGCTTTTTGTTTTTAATTTTGGTTTTTAATCAATTTTTCTCATTCAAATTTTAATAACAAGTACAAAAGACACAACAATAACATTATAATTATTTTTTTTTAGTGTTTAGGGTTAAGGTGTTTGAAAATTAATTTTTGCATATCTCGAAAAAATTAAGTTCTTTCTCGGACAATTTTAAAGGTGCACTCTCCATATTAGTCTAATATATTTAAAGAAATTAATTTCCTTAAATATTGATTCCAAAACTTGACCGACAAAACAATACATGTTTATTGGTGAATCTAACCCTTAAGGTTCAACAATAACATTGTTGAACAAGCCCTAAGTGAGCTGTATTACTTGTAAAAATTTTAATTGGGATTTATGAGAGCTAGGTCTAACACATTTTTTATTGTTATTTTGAGTTACATAATTGAAAACTATCATACTACATTCCTTAATCATCTAATTTGTGATGCGATTCAAACCTATTACCACATATTTTTACTAAAAATATATTTACAACTGAATTATTTAAATTATTAGCAATTTAACATGATCTTTTAGATATATTTGGTGTGAGTGAAATGGGGTTATGGAGAGGGAAGACATTTCCTTTATTTAATTACTGAAAAATTAAAGAGAAGGGAAGAAAAGAAACTTCTTTTACTTTATATTTTCATTGCTGTACCTTAACACATTTTAATTTATCCAAATGAGAGAGAAAAAGAGGGTAAAAAAATTTTAAAAAATTTATATCTTCCCTCAAATCTATTATTTTTTTAAAACCAAACATACTTTTAAACATTGATCAATGTTCATTCGCGCGAATTGTTGGAATGAAATTAACACAAGCCATGGAGAACAAACTTAATTTTTTAAACAAATAATTAAAACCAGACAAATGATTGACAAGATCAAAATTCATCACCTTTTAATTTTATTTTATTGGGGTCGAACAGTCGGTGGAGGGAATCATGGAAAGAGACGAAGGCAAAAATAAAGGATTATCAAAGGCAGGTGAGGTGAATGTAGACCAAATATATTAAGGTACGCAGTGAAAGTGTTGAGTGGACAAGGAGAGGCCAACAACAATATCTAGACAATGTTGCAAATGTTTGGCACTTGTTCATGCCCTACGTCATTGGATGTTTGTGTTCCTCCAAATTAACTCTCCCAGCTGTGCACAACTTGTACAATCGATGAAAAACATAGTTGCCTTCCGTCTCTTTCTTCCTGTTCCTTTCTTCTTGATGATTTTATTTAGGTACATGAAATTCGGATCATGTTCTACCTTATGCATCTTTACTTCCGATTCAATTCAATAACTCGTTATACAAGTGATGTGGCATCAACAATATACTATACGGCCCTTCTCACAAACCATGCATTTGTGGAATTTACGAAATATTACCGACTTCTCGTGACCTTCCCTAGCAAACGAACCTGTACCTTAATGTGAAGTTACTATCAAATTGAGAAAGACATTAGGGTTTAATTAAGATATGGGACAAGGCTATGCCAGTTGGAAAGGTTCAGAATGTTAGCCGTCCTAAATCTCGCGCCAATTAATGATGCTCGATGGGGACTTCTCCGGCTCTCCTTAATTTGATCAATCAGACGGGATCAGATTGCTAAATTTTATTTTATTTTTATTTTTATTGATATTTTAAAATTTTGGAAAATACAAAAATATAAAAGTTTACTAACCATTCTTTAAATATATATGTTTTAATTAAGTTCATGATAGATTCTCTTTTAGATAATGCTTAGTAGGGTAATGGTAGAATGATGTTAAATCTCACACTAAAAGTAAATCATGAATAATTGTACCTTATAAGTAGAATCAACTTCTTCCTCCATAAGAGCTCTTTTAAGGTCAAAATTGTGAAGTCTGCGAGTTAAAATGGATAATATCTCATGATAAAATACAATAGAGAATCCTTAGTGTGTCAACAATAAAAATCTAGATCTACAATGAAGATTTGAATACATACATGAATAAAACCACTAAATTTTTTAATGCATGGACCTTCCTTGAATTAGCTAGGAGTTCCATCATTTCATTCTCATTTGTGTTTTAAGTTTTATGGAGAGCAAATCATGGTTACGAGTGTAGAGTAATTTCACTCTTAACAGATACAAATTTGAAATTCTAAATTAAAAGTATCAAGTTAGAATTTTTAATCTAGGTCAAAATAATTTTATGGAGAGCAAATCATGATCAACAAGTGTAAAGTGACTGAGTGATTACCGGATACAAATTTGAAATTCTAAATTAAAAGTATTGAGTTTGAAATTTTAATATACATGGAAAGAAATTTTTTTTATAAAACTAAAGATATATTAACAAGGTGAAAATAGGTTTTAAAAGGTGAGAATTATATAATTATAAGTAATTATAAAGAAAAAAAATTAAATTTGTTGTTAGCACTTAGCAGAGCAGTAACTTGTAGGAAAAAAAAATTTAGAAATGAGCTTATGAAGTTAAATAAACAAAGGATAGTGATACGTACACCCATGAACCGGCACCCATTTTGACACCCAAATTGGTTTAAACAGTAAAATTACAAATTTACCCTTCTCACTAAATCTATTTCCCACGGAACAAATCCCAACAAAACTCAAGCATTCAAGCACATTCAACAACCAAATC